GAACTGTTTACCCAACTTATTTAATTGTTCTGACACCACGCATTCCAATGCCTGTGTAGAAGGTGTTTGTCGCTTGTAGACCGCAAAGGCTTGAATTCCGTGGCACAATGCAATTTCTCTGCATGTTTCTCAATTCCGCCGTGGCAATTTACTCCACTGGACTCAAGCCTACAGTGGAAACACCATTAGCAATTTGTAGAAACTACTCTTTGCACCAACGCACTGCTTAGTCCGGCATTCTCATTTGCGATTTCCGTTGTGGTGGGAGAGCATGTTGAACTGGTCGGGTTCATTAGCCTGCAGTAGAATCAGAAGCAAATGTGTGAATTCACGAAGCGTATTTGAGTGACTTGGTTGACGTGGAAACAGGTTCATTGTGCACGCATTTTCAACCATCTCGGTAAGATGATAGGGTTCGCCATTCACCTCACATTAATCATAATTTATTTAAGTCAGTAATTGGTAAAAGGAAGACGAGGCATTCATAAAAATTATTGTTAAAATCTAGGAGAGACAATGCACTATTTGCTAGTGCGCTAAACTGCCACATTTCTACACATGAAGCAATAGAGTGTACAGGGTCAGTCTATGCCTGTCAATAATGTGACAGTAATGTGACTGCTCCTTCACAACTGGAGCCGCCTGATTACTGGAAAGGGCAGTCTCCTCCCCAGCGAACACAGATTTCAAAGCAAGGAGGGGCTTTGGGTACACGCGTGCCAAACCAATGCTTGGCGCAATCGTGAGTCACAGAGTCAGGCGAACACATAAATACCTGCCACACATCCCAACACCTCCGATCAGTTGTCTCAATGTCATTCGTGGTTTGTGAGTTGAGAATGTGTAAACTTTGTAGATTTTGGCATTGTTTGCACAAAACGCTCGACAACGTATTCTCTTGTGTGTTCATTTATTTACCCTAGACGTTGTCATCCTCGCATCTGCTGTAACATGTGAGCCTATCAACGAGATTGAACAAGCACATGTCCTGGAATCCCACCTCAACGCACGAGAACATGTCTTCCCTCCTGCCAAGAATATGCTCTTCATGGTAATGTTCGCCACCACATTGTACGCGCACCTTTCATCTCAATTCCATGTATTTATCAGCACTTTAACTTGACTTTCTCACAGCGCCCGCATCGCTGTTTTGTGCATTGTTTTCTTTTTCATTCGATCAGAAATACTCGATGACGTTGGAACGTCTGGCACAATCTTGGGCCTCCCAATGCCTTTTTAAGGCTCCCGACCCCTCTCTCTGTCCACTATACTCCAATGTTGGTTACAACATTGCACTCGCCAGCGAATATAACCCATCGCTGTCTGAATATGTCTGCCAGTGGCTAGGTGAAGCCCGGTTCTACAATTTCAGTGCCAATACATGTAGCGATGTCTGTAGCCACTACAAACAGGTAGGCAGCTCAACGTGCTTATCCCCACACCTACTACTC